CGGGCGCTGTGATACTCAGTGTTGTGTGTGCTGTAATGCCGAGGCACGCTGGGAGGAGTGAAGGTCACATACCAGGGGAGCTGGGAGTTTGAATCCCACAGCTTTCATCCCAGCTTCGTCGCTCCCCCGCCCCGTGAGCCCTGGCCTTCGCTGGCAGGTACATTCAGCTCAGATGTAAGCTGATGCAATTCGCCTGATGCCAAAAGGGCTGGATTTACCCCACCAATAGGGCCAGGGCCATGGCTAGCCCACTAACCAGCAGGGAGTCTGGGCTTGCAGCTCTGGGATGCTTCTCAGCCTCCCGCCCACTGCCCTCCTCCCCAGAATGGAAACTCTAACACCTCCTGGGCCCTGCGGGAAGTTTAGCCGAATCCTCCGGCAGCGCCATTCCCCAGGATCCACACTGCTCTCAGAAAGACCATGCATCCGAAGAAGTGGGCTGTAGCCCACGAAAGCTTATGTTCTAATAAATGTGTTAGTCTCTAAGGTGCCACAAGTCCTCCTGGTCTTTTTGCGGATACAGACTAACACAGCTGCTCCTCTGAAACTGCTCTCAGAGACGCCCGGCTCGCTATCGAGCCTTTACGAGCATCTTGTGACTTGAGGGCGGCTCAGCGGGGAAGGACAAAGGTTGAACTCCCCCCCGATCCTTGCTGTGACTCCTACCTGCCAAGTTCCAGGGTCCCACCTATCCGGGCAGAGGTCACCATAATCTTGGCTGAAACGCTGCTGGTCTAGGAATAGAAGGAGAAGTGACATCAGTTCCCGTGAGACTGGCACTGTGAATGCAAAGGCCCTTCCCTGGCATTGGGGAGCCAGGAGTGAGGTCTGGCTCCTCCGGGGGAAGGGCTGGGCACAGCCTGCACTGTCACCTTGCTGACAGCACTTGGAGCGAAGCTGGCCTCGGGAGGAAGCCAGAGGGGCTGTGCTGGGAAAGGCAGAAAGGCAGGTTATAAATTAATGGAGATATCCCATCTCCTAGAACTGGAAGGGACCTTGAAAGGTCATCAAGTCCAGCCCCCTGCCTTCACTAGCAGGACCAAGTACTGATTTTGCCCCAGATTCCTAAGTGGCCCCCTCAAGGATTGAACTCACAACCCTGGGTTTAGCAGGCCAATGCTCAAACCACTGAGCTATCCCTCCCCCCAGGTTATGGGAGGGGTCCCTCTCCTCTCCTCTCCTGCTGTGGGAATGCCGAATTGCTGCACTTGGCAAAGGGATGGGGCCCAGCTCATGGCAAATCCAGTCCCAGCCGATCCCAGCAGGAGTCAGCTTGCTAGAGGGGATGACATAGGGATGTGAGCTTAGGAGAGCTCACAGCTATTCCAGGTCCATATGCCAGATCCTTCCTCTATCATCGGTAGGACAACTGCACTAAGGTCTCTCCACCCAGGGTCAATATCCATAAGCCATGCCCAGACTGACCACGCTGAGGAGGAAGACAGAGACAAGGGAGGAGTTGGGGAGGATAACATATGCTTGGATATCCACAACAGGCGTAAGCGACAAGTTCCCAGGCGTGATGGTCAGGAATGGAGCAGAAGAGGTTTTAATTCTGAGCTTCATCAGCTTGTCTGGGTACATCTTTTCCAGCTGGGGACGGAGCAGAGGGGAGCCAGTCAGCACCAGGGAAGGTGACAACAGATTCGCACAAGCTCGGTACAGTGATAAAGCAAAGTCCCTGAGAAATGGGATCTGATGCAGCCTTTAATCTAACAACACATCATGTTCCTCCAGTGACCATCACCCCAGCGAGCGGCGGGCCCACCTCGCCATTTCCAAACACGTCTTTCCGAAACACAAACCCAAGTGTTGTGGGAAGTTCTCATCTTTAATCCAGTCTGGGAATGAGCGACGGCTCACTTGAAAACAACAGACCAAGGCACTGCGGCCACCCCCAGCAAACCCCGATGCCCAATCATTTGTGTGTGGCAGATAGGTAGCTCAGGGAGCGGGACACTTACCTGGGGAATGAAGGCTGAAAAGGTGGTGGTGTTCAAATGGAATTTAAACTCCTTCGGAATCTGTAGCAGGAGAAACACAAATGGTGCCTGAGGGCCAATTCGCCGCAGCAATGACCTGCCGTACGGAACGGCACAAGGGAGAGCTGGAGGCAAAATCAGCCGCCAAACCCCCTCTGCCTTCCTCACTAGAAGCTAGTTTCACCAACAGGGAAAGGTACTTATATGGCCCTCACCACCACAGGGTCTGAGCGCCATGCAGTCATCAATGGAGTTATCCCACCCCCACCCCATGCAATAGGGCGATTCAACGATCCCCATTTCACCAATGGGCCGGAGAGACTCAGCGACATGCCCAAGGAAGCTTGGGGTTGAGACGGGAATGGAACCCAGGTCTCCTGAGTCCCACAGCCCCTTACCATGGCGTCAGTGATCTCGAAGAGCAGGGCCCCGGCCGTGTGGTACACAAAGCCGGCTGTGTTGAAGAAGTAACTGGAGGCCCCGCAGTAAACCATGCGGTCATGATCCACCGGGAAGGCCAGTGCAGGAGGAGGAAAGGGGACGGCAGAGCGATGGGCCAGGGAAAAAAATTCACCCTAGTGAGGAAGGAAAGGAAGAGTGACGCCTGGGGGAGGGGAGAACAGGGGCAGCTAGAATTCACTTGGTTTTCACTGACCCAGCTTGGGAGCAAAGCGTTCAGAGGAAGAGAATAAAAACCGGGTCTACCCACTGCTCTCCCCGCCCTGCACTCGCGCCAGAGCATGTTAAAAATAACCCGGGATAGGCTCAATATAAAGAATGCTAATGCCTTTATAGGACTGGCCTGGAGCTCGTCGCGGGAAGGAGCTCATGTGCCCTGTACCTGACACCAGAGAGGGACGGATTGCATTTTACTCATGTCACCCTTTTTAGCTGCAGCTAAGTCACTGGAGGCACAGAGAGGTTAAGTGACTTGCTGATGGCCACAATTCCACACTGAGAGTCAGTGGCAGATATGGGAACAGAATCAGTGAGTCCTGACTTCCAGCCCCTAGCTCCGGCACCTGGTAGTTGATGCTCCAGGACCTCGCTAGGCAGAAATGCTAATGGAACGTACCAATATTTTTCACTGATCCCCGCGGGGTTGTGTGTGTCCCTCCGTTCCCCTCTCACCTTCAGATTCACGTCCAGAGACTGGGCTGTTGCCGCGGGAGGTGCAACCAGGGAGTAATCAATCCCAGCCACCTTGTCTATCTTTGCTGTGACTGCAGAACAGGAGAGACACAAATCCGACGGTTGAGATGCCAGAGGAAATCGGGGGGGAGGGGCGGCGAGCCGTTCCCGCTCCCCAGCTGGGACTCACACAGAGCAGCAAGCCAGGGAGGAGTTACCAGTGGCATGGGGAGTTAGAGAGCCAGGTTTATTCTCCCTTAGCTCAGTTCGGCACAAAGAGACAGGGTTTTTCTGTAGCTACCAGCTCTGGGAACTAGCCCTCAGCCCGGAGAGTCAACCTAGGTCTTTTCTGCTAAGGACAATCGCAGTCCCAACCCCTGCGAGGCCCTGGGCCTGATCCTGCCATGCTCCCCAGAGGCTGCAGGGAGGAGGCAGGACTTTGCACCCTCCTGTCCAGAGAGCAGCTGACTAGGTACGGAGCGGGACAGCCTCCGCCAGGGAGCTCACACAGTCCCTCTGGGGTGACGTGGTGCCCCATGGCCCTCAGTGTGGGCCGGAGGCTAAATGCAGGGTGAAAAACAGTGTCCCATAGCATGTGCCTGGCCTGGGGGAAATACTGTAAAAATCCAAAGCCATCACCATGTTGTACCTGGCACAGTCTGGAGATAGGGCTGCAGCTTGGTGGTGACAGAGCTGGTCACCACTCCACACACCTGAGGAAAACAGAGACGTGACACCTTGGTGACCGGCCAGCAGCTCAGTCTGGAAAGGCTGAGTCACACAGAGTGGCAAGTCCTCAAACCGCCTCTTAGTTTCTGTGATGTTGCACAATTATTTTACTTATGCAAAAGCCAGCGTTTGCACATGCAAGTGACATTTGTGCATGCAAACGAGGCAGCGGTCTGGCTCACTGCCCAACATACATGCATCATGTGTGTGTGGGTGGGGGGGGGGGCTGTGTGTGCAAATATTTGCTCATGCAACAACTCCAAGCACATCCTGGTGGCGGAGTTGAGCTCCTTTGAAAAGGGTCTCACTTGTGACCCAATTCCCAGTTCTATACTGGACACGTGGGGGAATATGTCCGTGGAATCCAACCTGCTCTGGATGGTCTCTGTGACCTCTATGGCCAAAGCTCCATCACGTAGACTGGAAGTTTGTCTATTCACCAAATGCAGTCAGCACGTAGAGTGGGGGAGTGCGGGGGTGTCTTTAACTTACTGCTCTTGGGTAAGCCAGGCTGGGTAGCCAAGTTTTTAGCCTACCCAGGCAACCAGAAAGGGCTAATTCAGCCTTGCCTGGGGAGGGGGAGAGAAACAGCATGATGGAGTGTGATGCTAAAAGCCAAACAGTGACAGCATGTTTTTGATTCTCCTCCCCCAGCTCCAGGTGCTCTGTATAAACACCACTTCAGTATTACTGGGGGATTGAACCAGCGTACACAGCATGGTAGGAAATGGACGGCAGGGAATAACCCTGCCAATGCACTAGAATACCTGCCAGAGATCTTCTCCAGTCCCGTTTCCCAGAAGGACCCGGAAACTGCTGCGCTGGATCGGACCATTGGTCTGTCCAGTCTGGCCGCTGGCCTGCAGCATGGCCAAGAGCAATACCAGCTTCAGAGGAAAGGGGAACGGTAACCAGAAAACAGAGAGCTGAGCACAAGGGGGGAATTCCCTTGAGAGGTACGAGGCAGGAGCTGCCTGGTTAGTCCACGGGTCCCCGTTATCCATCATGCGGTCAGCTCACGCTCTCACGTGGTAGTTGTCAAACCAGCTCTTTTCCCTGCTCTCTGTACAGCTTGTGAAAGGGAAGGTATGTTCCTTCCACCCTGCTGTGCAGAGACAGGACACATCCCCGTATTTGGTCCTGCTAGTGAAGGCAGGGGGCTGGACTCGATGACCTTTCAGGGTCCCTTCCAGTTCTAGGAGATAGGTATAGCTCCATATATTTTTAATGTAAGGCCCTGGAGTGCCTGAGACTGATGGGGAAACAGGAAAGGTTTGTTGCGGGCTGAGTCATATAACAGCCCTTGTGCATTCACACACCTTCCTAGTGCACAGAGACACGCTGGTGTGTCAAGGGGGAGCCAGCCCAGCAGAGAATGGGGAGGGGAGAGAGGCAAGGCAGGGGCAGGTCAGCTATGCAGGGGGTGGGAAAGTCCCTGAGACTGACAGGGAGCTGGGGGTGCAGGGAGTTAGGGTGAGAGACAGGATGCACCCCCTGTTCTAAGGAGGGAAACAAAGCAGTTCAGTGACTTCCTTGGGACAGGCATGAGCAGATTAACCGGTCGCTATAGGGGGGGTCTAGGCCTCTGCCTACGGGAAGTTTCTTGCATGTGGTGACAGGGACCTGACCTGCTGCAAGAGGAGCAGAAGGGGAGCGACTGAGAGAGATTCTCACCAGGTTTCCAATGTTCCCCAGTGGTGTCCCCTCCAGAGAGGCAGGAGACGAAAGCCTTAAATGGAAGCACGTCTTCGATAGGCCCGGGCTTTGCTTCTAATGCCAACCCATCTGCTCCAACAGCTTCCAGATGGCCCTTAAAAAGCCACTAGATGGCACTAAAAGTAGCTCAATACAATCAGTCCAGTAGTTTAAATCTATTATATAAATGGACTTTTCACTGTTCTCCAACTGCCTCCTTCCTGAATGAGGTTCACATCCAGAGATGGAGCAAGTCGTGCCAGTTAGCCGTGTAGCAATTATTGCTAACAGCTTGTTTCCATGTCTTGGTGCAGGTTTCCTGAGGGTAGGCTATTGTACCGTGCTGTCGGTATCAGGGTTTAGCTACTGTGCCCCATTAAAACAAGCCGGGAAATGTCTGTAAATCCACCGATGAGAATTTCTACCCCAAAGCTCCTAAAAATCTCTGCGAGTGACAGGCCATTCAAAGCCTCGGTCAAAGTGGGCTCTCTCGTTTGATACGAGCTTGGCTGAGGCATGCGATCTAATTAACCGACCATGTGAAAAGAACAGTCTATGTTAATTGAGACCGATTATATTAGGCACTGGCAAATGTCGCAAGTTTAGAATTCCGTAAGAACTGTGCACTGCCGAGGTGACTGCCGTTAATGTGTTTTTTCACGATACTTTGCAGCACTGATCTCCATACCACACGCCTCTCCCCAACAAATCGAGCTCCAGGACGCCCCCCGTCCCCCGAGCTCTCGCCTGAGAGCAAGAGCCTATGGACATGGGTCATCTGGAAATGGTGTCAGTGCCGCAGGAGAGCTGGACAGTGGAGGAGGGGTCACTAAAAAGGGTTGGTATTCTGTGCTCCTAGCATATCGTACCTTGCCTTCCATGGTCTTCCTGAAGCTGGACTCAATCTTCTTGTGAAAGAGATTGTACAGCCAGCTATGGAGAAAAACACAGCGTGCTAAAGTCGTGCTCCTGCCCATGGGAGGAAATCGGAGGAGCGTCTCCTTGGACAGGGGCGACACTAGAGAAGTGTGTGACCACAGGGCACATTGTCCCAGGATGTTTTGGATTCAAACCTTGGCTGCTTTGCTTTGTTTTAATATGATGGCTGCATTTGCAAATCGATAGGCTTGTAAAATGTGTGCACCCAAATTTAGAGATGGGCTGAAAACGTGTCTCCGAAAGGGACAACACCGTGAGCCAAATTCAGACCTGGTGCAAGATAATTCATTAGCTCATGATTTGGTGCTGCATGTTTATTTATGAAATTCCTCTTTGACCAACCAATCTCCCGGGCAGTAGCGGAGCTGTTCCTTAATTAGCCTCCCTATGCAGCTACTGGGCCTTTGGGCCAATTACTCTAGGATTCAGTTTACCCCGCTAGCATTCTGTGAAGGAAGGAATGGGAAGGGCCGGCAGTGCTGCTTACAGACCAGTGGGCACAGCAGAGATGGGCTGAAGGTAACCTATATCCCCTGGAGGCCCTTGTAGAAGATGGGTTAATCAGCATGGTCCCGAAGCCATGACAATTAAGGGAAGTTACATACCCAAACCTGCCTGAAATGTGCACCCGAACGTTGGAGATGTGGGTTCCACACTCTGAGGTGGTAACGGTGGGTCTCCCAGAGGCGTCGCTGCCCAGCTTCAGACCAATAGAGATAGAGAGACCCTCGACCTTCAGGTCAAACGACCCACTGTCCCTGCTAATGGAAAAGGAGGAAGGAGAAGAGATTGCATTTGCAGCCAAGGGCTCTCCTAATACCCTGCACATGCCATATGCTGGTGGAAAGGGCTTGTATGTTAATCCCCGGAGCACTGATTATTCACGAGGAACATCCCTGAGGCTGGAGCAATATTCAGGATACGTAGTCACTCCGCCGCTTCTTTTTTCATTTATCCATCACTATTGCAGGAATTAGGGAATGGGAAATAACCTATAAGGCCATTGATTCCATGCCCGGGATGGAGGTTCACTGCAGGATTGCGCCCTCCAGTATATTCCCCAGTGCTTCATACTAACCAGCTCAGAGCATCAGCCTCGGGGCTGCCCCATGTCACCCACCAGCCATTTTAGCCATTTCTACCGAGGCAGAAGGGGAGAACACAGCAAGAAATTCCCTCCACCCTCATCCCCATGGCTCTTCCCCAGGAGCCACGTGACCAAGCCCCGAGACGGATCGCCAAGGGCTGACGTGCAGAGGCCAGAGTCTACGAGGGCTGTCGGAGTGACTCTGGAAGAGATCCAGAGAAGAACACAGCCCCCTGCCCAGTGCCGCTTGGGTACTGCCCTCCAATCATCCCCGTGAATGCTCACGCCAGGGAGACAGCCCCTATGGGTGACCCCCACCCATGGGTGGGCTTTGGGGCCTGCCTCCCTGTGGATGATGGGCCTGATCCTTCTCTCACTCATGCTGGTGTAAATCGAGTATGAGAGGAGAATCAGCCCCCTACACGTGGGAAACAAGCTAGTGGGGCAGGAAATGACAAGGAAGAACACGTGTGTGAGTGCGTGTGCGTGTGTGAGTGAAGGGGGCGGGGGAGGGGAGATAGAAGAGACAGGGCCGTTTTGGGACACAAAGGGTTACACTCGTGGGGTCAGACGGCGCTTACATAAATCTCTTCTTCACCCTCCACTTCCCCGTCAGCTGGGCAAAGGCATTGGCGATGGAGACTTTCAGGCCCACGTTGGGGATCGGGGCAATCTGCGAACTCGGCAACTGGAAACTGCGAAGGTTCAGGCTGCAAGAGAGAGAAATTCTATCAGCAGGAAACCCGAGCTTCCCCGGGAAAACCGACAGGTGGCTGTCAGCCGCACCTTCAGCATAGGTCTCCATGTCCCCACAGCCACCAGCACTGCTGGTCGCAAGGGGCCCAAGACCGAGCAGGTCAGGGTGAACAAACTCCTTCCCTCCTTTACGAGTGACCCCACCAGGACCGGCCTGAGGCACATGGAGGGGCTGTGCCCCCTCCTGTGAACACAACGCTCTGCCAGTCACCCGCAGTCTCTCAGCAACCTCACTCCTGGGAGAGAGCCACAAAGTGCTTTCGCCATCACAGGAACCTGCTTGTGTGGGACGGGTTGGGGGTGGGAGTGGGGGGGTTATTTGTGGTCTCCTGAAAGGAGAGGTCATCCCAGCAGCGTCGGGAGCTCTGCTCCCTGAGGAAGGGCTAGCTCTGGAATCAGACAGGGACAAACTGGGCTGGGGGTAGGTTTTCTTTTTGGCAAAACCCATTGGTCCGATTTTGCACAAACACCATCCAACCTTGAGTGCCTGGGCTCCGGGGCACATTGTACCCGGCTCCGGCTGGGAGGTTTGGATAAACAGGTTTGGCAGAACCACAGCAATTCACTCTCCACCTTATTCGACCCCCTGGGCACCCGGCTCTCCGGCAGGAGAGGAACGGTCTGTCAGGGACGTGCCCCACCCTGGGAAGGACTCTGCCCACACTTGCACTCAGAGCGGGGGACGGCTGCGCGCGGAAGCCCCAAGGTCTCACCTGTAGAATGTGTAGTGCACCTTTCCTAAGAGCTTGACTTTAAAGGTCCCCGAGAAGTCTGGCAGCTTCAGCTTGGCTAATTCCTTCTGCAGGGCAGTGATGCCCTCCTGACGAGCTGCAGGGACATAAAGGGGACGTCACAGACTGGCCCTTTGAGAGCGAGCCGGATACAGCCCTGGCATATTTGCCATCACACGAGGAAAGTGTCAAAAGGTACAACTAGAAAGTAACTTACCTGCTGATTCAATAAGTGAAGGGAGCTGGTTTCCATCCCACGTGCGATTATTAGTGCGAGAAAGAGCCCTAACATTCCAGCCTGAGCTACGGGCTGCACTAAGTGACATCTGATTAACCCAGGCCCATGGGGGAAGGTGGCAGCAAGGTGGACAATTGGCACAGGGCAGGCTGCACTGTGCCAAAGGGAAGGGAACCCAGGAAGCAGGGCTGATTGCCAAAACATGCATTAATTCCAGCTCCTAATGGATGCTAGTGGGCATAAGCCTCATTCTTCACGGCCCTGCGCCCCGGGCAGTCGTTTACACCAGTGCAAAGCACGGGTAACATTGGTGCAATGGGCCACTCTCTTACCACTTCAAAAGTTATTTTTCCTCCCTTGGTATCCTGCTGTTAATTGATTTATCTCGCTAGCCTGACCTCACACTTGGTAAAGCAACCCCCATCCTTTCATGTATTTATACCTGCTCCTGTATGTTTCACTTCATGCATCCGATGAAGTGGGTTTTAGCCCACGAAAGCTTATGCCCAAATAAATTTGTTAGTCTCCACGGTGCCACAAGGACGCCGTGTTGTTGGTGTCAAAGAGGCCCCAGATCTGAGTGCTCGCACGCTGCACTCACTTTGACAGTGCAGAGCACTGCACAAGACACAGCAGAGCTGGGTAGGATGGGCCCAGGGTTCTCCTGAGATCAGCACGGCCCTTACAGGTATGTGTCCACTGCAACCGGAGGTGGGTCTGCCGCTTGCCTTAGCTTGAATTTAGCTAGTGCGGCTAAAACCAGCAGCGACGGTCCGGCAGCGTGGCCCTGGCGTGGGTTAGCAACGTGCGCACGTACCCAGGATTCCCAGCGGGCTTGTGCAGCCTGCACCAGGGGCCGTGCCGGCGTGTGCTAGTTCTAGTCACATGACCGGAATTAAAGCTAGTGCGAGCTGCAATCACCCCTCTTACTGCAGTGTAGACAGCCCCTGAGGCGGCTGCCGCTGTTGGCTCTAGCTGGGAGGGAAAGGCACTTCCTGCTCTCCAGATAGCGCTGGGGGGATGAACCGCTTCTCACGCAGTATAGTTCAATCCATGAGAGGGCTGCATAGGAGCTCGGTCTGCGATTTCACTTCAGTCACGGACTTGCTCATCTCAGCCACTCCCCGCCCCCGCCCCTACCCAGCCTCCCTCCACTCTGGGAGCTCATTGACCTGGGTGAGTCTCTCTGCTCTTCGGGAGCTGGCATCAGGCACTGAAGGAACAAGACATCACGCCAGCCAACTAGCCCCATGTGCTGCCGGGTCGGGAAGTACACGGAGCAAGAGCTGGGGGCCAAAGGGAGACAGGGAGGGGTCCCCAGCCCCAAAGATCCTCCAAGCCGGGTTGCAGGGCGCACTCGCTTCCCACCACAGGCAGCGAGAACACGGGGAGGACTTTGCCCATTTAACCCGCACGCACCCCACAGAGAACGCGCCCGGAGAGATGCAAGTTCCGAGGGCCCTAATGGGGTTGGTAGGGTTCCTTCCCCGCCTTCACAGGGAGACGTTGCCATGAAAAGGCCCATTCCAGAGACGGGAACAGGCTACTCCACACGGTCCCGGGACCCATCCTCACGGCCGTGACTAGCACCCACATTGCTGGGCTCTCATGTCGTGTCCATCCCACTGGCCGACTGGTTCCTATCATACCCCCCTCACAGTGCATTGTGGGTAGCCGCACACCTGGCCCCTCTCGCCCGGCTCGGAGTGAGGCAGACACAAATTAGACTGGGAACCTACCGTAGTCCAGGCCTTTAACAGTGATTCTGGCCACAAAGCCGGGGTTCGTGGCCCCGGTGAGCACCATGCAGATAGCCAGCACCAAGGCAGCCAGGGCCAGGCGACGCGTTGTCATCCTGACAGGAGTGCGGCGGTACCGTCCAGCTGCTGAGACGTGCTGCGCTGGCTGCTGGCCGATGCTCCCCTCCGATCCTGCCGTTAGAACCGGTGTGTTTATAGCAGGGTGGAAAAGGGAACTGAGAACAGGTGCCAAGGAAGCAGGAAGTTGCTTTCACATTCCTCTGGGGGCCGTCCCCACTTGCACAATTCTCAGCCATGTCCTGCTCCAGGTTCCTCCTCCAGGGGTTGGGGCTGGGGCTGGGGCAGACCCCCGGGCAGAGGGCAGTGGCACCCCCCAGGGGACAGGACTGCTCGGGGCACTCGTGCTCTCTGCTCCCTGGCCCGTGGCTCGCTCGCTGCTCACTTTGGGAGTTTCTGCTGGTCTCTTGCAGTGCGGGTGACGCCCGGCTCCATTAACAGACACCTGCTGACAGCAGCCCTGCAAGCCACAGGAATGCAGCTGGAAGGGTCTCCATGGATACCAGGGTGGGTCCTGGGGAAAGGAGAGGCAAGGACTTTGCATTCAGCACCACGCTAACCTCAAATGCCTCCCCACTGCCTTGGCAACTGGAACAAGCTCCTTGCTGGCTCCTGGAGCGGGCCCCGGGATTCAGCCAGGGATTCTTGCACTGTGTTTTGCCCATTCCATTGGCAGAGGGCAGGGAGCAGGATGGAGTCGTTTATATCTCAGCAGGGACCTGCTGGGGGGCTGCTCTCACTAGAGGTTTCTCTGGGCGTTTTCTCCCTTGCGAGGAGGATTTTACATCTTGTCAAGTCCCCTGGCTGGGAGCAGCTTTTCCCAATTATTTCTCTCCTCCTGTAGCTTCCTCCTTTTCACGTTCTCAGCAGGCCCCAGCTCCATTAGCCAATGGCCTCACCAACCAACGTGGCCCAGTCAGCGCGGAGTGAGCACTGGTAGATGGCACGGGCCAGTCCGGGGAATTAAGCCTGTCGCTCTTTTATCCCCTCTGCACCCTGGCGAGGCCAGCAAGCAGCCACGTTCACTGCACGGGTCTGTGCAGGAAGCCAGGTCGGGGCCCGGGACGCCAGGCCTGCAGTGTCATTGTGAAGCCAGACTGGTACGGTCCATCTTCACCACAGACTTGCACTCTCTTCTTACACTGGAGCTCGCTGCCCCAGCCCGGTGAGCCCGCACCCAGCAGTCCCCGCAAGCGTCGCCCTGCCTTGTGCTTTTCTGCCCCAAAGTGTCCTGCATAAATCTTCCAAGCGGAGGTCCTGGGAGAAGCTGAAGGGTTCTGTGGGACTGGGCCAATAGCCTGATCTCATTAAAATAGGTCACTTCCTGCTCACTGCCTCCAAGGGATGGATTCCTCTGTGTGGCTCCAAGTCCTGCCTGCCCTTGACCTGGAGGGGCCTGTGGAATCCAGAGGTGTGTTATCCGCCCAGGGGGATGCCGCTTTATACATACAGAGAGCACTGCACCTTTTCCATTGCTGCTCCCGGGGATCCCCCCCCCCCCCCTGCCTGAAGTCCCTCCTAATTCAGCGCCGCCCCCATGTGAAAACAGAGCTGCTCTTCATGGGTGTGGCATTACGCCCCCATAGTCTTCACACAGATATTATGATATGATAATGGCGTAACTGTGATGGATTTTACACGAGATAAGGCATGTGAGATATCACTGGAAAGGTTCTGATTTCCTGAAGATGATTATCCTGTTTGTATTGTTTGGATATCTGAAGTGAGGAATATTGTCTATGCATCTATTACAGAGATGTTTACACCTGGGGATGCCCACAGGGCAGAATGCAATCAGTCTAGGTGTCTCGCTGGGAAGGGCCATTAGGGAGAACAACAGGGCTTTGAAGATGCTAATCACCCACTGAGAAGTCTTCCTGGGGACACTACAAACAGCCTCTGAGTTATGGCTACAAGGTCATGTGACCAAGTCACCTGGTCCTGGACTCCATGATAATACTAGTATTTTTCCACTAACTGGGGGCGGGAACCACACCGGGAGACAAAGGATTCCTGCCATATGCAAAAACTGGGGGGAGGGGCAAAGCAGCGGCCCCTCCCCTGGGGCTACCAGCAGTGATTGGCTCCTGGCCACCTCTGGAGACAGAAAAGCTGGCGGAGCAGACAGCCGGTGTGTATTCCCCGCCTTCCCAGGCGTGGTGCAATTGGGCTTCAGCTCTGGGATGGTGGTTGCAGGCTCCACCCATGGGGCTTTGGGCTCCATCCCTGGGCCCCATCCCCTGGGCAAAGGGCTTTGGGCTCCATTCCCTGGCTGTGTGGTGATGGGCTCTGGCCCCGAGCTCAACCTCCCCAATCACCCCTGGCTCCTGCTGCCTCCCCCAGTGCCCCATCACCCCGCTGCCTCCATACCCACTTCCCCATCCAGGGCTTAATTTGTCCCTGGGCTTGCTGGGACTGGGCTGTGAAACGTGATATTTGTATGTTTGTTAATATCACGTTTCACAGCAGACCGACTGGCTAGCAAGTCTCAAAAAGAGAAAAGCAACCAAAAAAAAAGCAAAAGAAACAATAAGATAAAAACCAAGAACATGAGAATGTGCAAAGCACCTGATTTGGGTGTCTCTACTGTTCAGATCCCATAAGGAATAGAGACAACTGGACATTATTTTTATTATTGAGTCTGCAAAAAACCCTCCATAAATAAATTACAGTGATTTCGACATGGATATTTGCATATTTATTTGATTTTCCTAAAGTTAATTAAGTATTTTAGGAAAAATTGTCAGAGCGGCCACCAGCATTTTGTGTGTGAGAACCCCTGGTCCAGCCTGATTGAAATATTGGAAGGTTTAAGCTGCAGGCCAGTGCAGTCGGCCTTCAGGGATCTCTGCAATCTGCCAACAACATCATTTAGGGTGAGACTTTGCTCCTTGTAACCAGTTTCTTTAACATATTAATCTTAGATTGCGTTTTGTTTTATTTGCTGGGTAATCTGCTTTGCACTGTTTGCTATCCCTTATAATCACTTACAATCTATCTTTTGAAGGGAATAAACTTGGTTTGGTTTGGTCTAAAACCCAGTGTGTGGAATTCATAACTGGGGAAACAGAAAGCTGTTGCGTATTTCTCTCCACGTTGAGGGAGAGGGTGAATTTCATGAGGTTGTGCTGTACCATTCTCTGTGCAGTGCAAGACGGTACAGTTTGGGGTCTATGCTCTAGAGGGGGGCGTGCACTTGAGTACGGGGCAATTCCTTAGCTGAGTCGTCCCATGCAGAGCTGATCTCAGCCTCTGTGTGTAACGCTGCAGCCGGGCGTGTCCCTACCTGTATGTGTGCTGGTAAAGTGCAGTCTGAAGCCTGGGGAAGGGCTTGGCTGGCTTGCCTCAGCAGGACAGTGTGAGAGGGAGCCCAGGCTGGTGGGTCAGGCGGGCTCAGTGGTACCCCAGTTCCAAGTGACACCCCAGGGAGAACCCATCACAATAGGTTCCGGCCCCGTTTCAGTGACACCACCGTGCCCACTGCACAGCCAGACCTGGCTAGAACATGTGATAACCGCATGCTGCAAACAAGATGCATCTCTCCAGCTTCCAGCCTCCACGGACGAGCTGGCGAGTGGAAACGAGGCTAGTTAGCATGAGAGGGTACGTAGGGCCAGCAGGTAACACAATACCCACTCAGCCATGGATCTCTGAACAGCCCGCCATCTGGAACCATCTTCAGCTCCTCCCATGCCCTTCGTTTTAGTCACTAGTAACATGCTGCAGGCCCTTTAATGGCACCAAGTGCAACGTCAGCCTCGGACCAGCCTCCGGACAGGACCTCAGCATGGTGTAAAAGAAAAAGGGATGCACAGTTCTCATGTCCCGCAGAGCCCAGGCGCTCCACCTGCAGCAAGGGAACAGAGAGGGCTCAGACGCGGTGCGACATGAGTGGGACGCCGTTATTACCCCGTGCGTGGGGAGCTAGGCTGCAGGAGAGTTGCTCTGCCCCTTCTCAGCCCTGCCCAAGAGCAGCCGTGCTGGGAAAGGTGGGGCATGCAGCCTTGAAACCAGCAGCAGACCCAAGCTGCAAAGATCCCAGACGCCGAGGTGTGCTCAGAGCTGGGGGTTTGCCTCAGCCCCGTCCCGCCAAATTATGGCCTGGAGGCAGCTCCTCTGCTTTTGCAAACCACAATGCTTTGGTCCTGCCATTGAAGTCCAGCCGCTAGGAAGATTCTACACCCATTTCCCAAGTGGCCATGGTTTGCTTGGTGCAGAAGCACATTTCCGGGGGCCCAAGCAGCCCTGCCCCTCCACAGAACTGACAGTCACAACCGAAGGAAGGAGAAATCTTTCCAGAAACTTTCAGTTCCCCTTTTGTGATGAGCTCCAGGCAGAGCACAGGAAATCGAAGGGCACTGCTGCATGTGCATTGCTACATTCTGTGAATCCCATGGAGCAAACAGGCACCGGAGGCAACTCCCCAGAGCTTACGGCTGCTAACAAAGGAAGACATACAGCAAACCAATTGCGCAAAAGCTGGTGGCTCTAGATGACATGGGGCCTGTATTTTGTGTGTGCAGGCTGGAGACTAGCTGCCTGCTGATTTACCATTGCCCCTCAAAACACACAGTGCACAAGCAGTGTTATCCAGCTCACTAGCATGTTTTGGTGGTGCTGCCCCGGGGCCCCTCCCTGAAGGGGTCTGGCACTCTGAGGGATTGTGCCTGGGAGGCTGGAAACCCACAGCCAGAGTCTATTTTTCCTACCTTTTGAGAAAAAGGCCCATGCAATTGGGTGCCCAAGGAATGTTTGTGCAAATGTGCACGATTTGCATGCAGAATTATTGCATTTGAGGGTGCAGTTGTGGTAACTGAAGGTGCAAAGAGCCAATTAGGTGCCTACTTGGCCAACTGCACCTCCAGTAAGACGTGCCAATGTGGGTATCACTGCTGCACGCTGGATCCAGTGTGAGAGCTGCTCTGCCATTGGCCTTCAGACTGCTGCCGCTAGAGGGGATTCTCCTTTGGCTGACGTGAGAGACACCTGCACTTTTGGAGCAGAAGGACTTGAGTTTTATCCCGGCTGTCTCT